TCCCCAGTCATTAGAGATTGTCATTCCAGGTGCACCATCCATGCATGCTGTGTGCACCCTCCTATTGTAGTTGAGACTTGACTGATATTGGCACATCAGTGGGAGGAATTGACTCCCTGACCAATTGGCAATGAAGATCAGGTGCAACCACAGCAATGGAGCTGCTGTGCAGGGGCCAGCCCCAGGGAGCAGAACTCACTTCATCAGGGCTCTGGTGTCTGCCAAGTTTTCCCCTTTAGTGTCTGGCTGGTAGAGGTGGTTTGGTGGTATCTGGTATGGTCTGAAGCTGTCCACCAGGTGCGTTGGCTCTGGTGCTTATCTGGGAGATTCAGGCCAAGATTGGCTGTCAATTTTGCCCTGCCAGGAGCCACTCAAAATGAGCTACAAAGCTATCTGAAGATGGCTGCTCCTTGTGCTGGGCTTTGAAGTGCCTAGGAGAGACCAAGATACAAACTGAGTCTAGCTGCTATTTATTCCAGGCCTGAAGCCACTTAGCAAAAGGTATAGGGTACATGGAGGCCAGATACTGTTTGTTTGAGGTTTATGAAACTTTGAGAGATCTCAGGAAAATCTGAAGAATGAACCAAGGCTGACTGTGTGTATGGAAATGGCTTGGGTGGGCCCACAAATTGGGTTGGTTGGGGTATCTGATGAAATCACCGGGGTGGGGGGAACAGTGTTAGCCAGGTTGATGGAGACTCAGATGTGGTATCTACCTGTGCCTACAGGGAGAGTACTCAGCAAAGGAAGTATAACTTCTGACAGCACTTTAAGAGAAAACTGTTGTTCCAGACCTTGCCTTGAAGCCAGACAATTCAGTTCCTCCCTTGTGCCTCACATCCTCAGTGCCTTTCAAGATACTGCCCCATCTCTGGAGCTCAGAGTGAGTAAGTCTGAGTGAGTCTGTACTCAGAGCCCTTTAAGAGGAGCTGCCTGGGACTCCAGAAACATTTTGTCTTATTCAGCCACAATTCCAGTTGGTTTTCAGAGCCAGAAGTTATGGGGACTGTCTGGCACTGGAACCTGGGGTTGAGGGGCCTGGTGTGGTACGGGGACCCTCATTCCTCAGATGGGGACCTCCACAGCCAAGATATCCCTTCCAATTTTTTACCACCACATGTGGGTATGGGACCAGCCCATTCTATGTTTCTGCACCTCCCCCTAACCAGTCTCAATGTGGCTTCTTCTTTGTATCTTTAGTTTTAGGAATTCTGTGTAGCTAGACTTCAGGTGGTTCTGAGTGATGGTTGTTCTATAGTTTAATTGTAATTTTGATATGGTTGTAAGAGGATTCCTAGTACCACATTTACTTATTTAGTTAACCATCTAGATTTAAATCCAAATCAGCATATTTTTAAAATAAAATATCTTTCCCATAAGCAATATGCTAATCATTTAGGGATGAGTCTGGAGTTCTGTTCTTTTTCCTAACACCCATCAAAGTAATCATGAACATGAAAACTATCACCTTGCCAAACTGACTTTGGGAAATCTGTTATAACCCAGTTCTCATTATAACCCCAAGAAAAAATAATATTAGAATCTCCATTTAACAGATGAAAGATTGAAGCTCAAGGGAATTTGCCTTAGAAACCCCTGTCTGGGTCTTCCCTCCCTCTTCTGTCAGAGTTGAAACACTGCCAAGACCCCTGCCTTCCTTTCCAGTCTCCTTTCCTTACTAAACTCGCCTTCATTCTTTCATTTGTCTGTTCCTGCCCTGAGGGCTCAACTATACTGGTGACTCAACTTTTAATTCATTTCTTTCACAAATCTTCCCCAATCCCCATGTCAGGAATCTTTTGGGGAATCCCAGGATACCCTACCTAACCACATGATAGCAGAAATCATGACAATATTGATAGACTACAGTCAGAAAATAACTTTATAATTTTTCCTTCTATCATTGGATATTCAGACCTACTACATCCTTTCTCTCCTCCCCACTCAAAGAACCATATAACCTTAGGTAGATTCTTTATATTTTTATTCCTTCTCAAGCCACTTCATTTTCAGTTATTAAAATGCTTAGTCCAATCTAAATCTAAATTTAAATCTAGCTTAGAGCTGCTCCTCTTCCCCAGCCAAGCCATACCCAGGGTGTGTGCTGTGTTGTTGTTATTATTTTTTCCCATTTCCTCATCCTGTGCTCTTCTTCAAAGTCCTTATTTATTCACTTAAATGTTAATTGAGTACCTGCTAGAATCATGGGTGTCCAACCTTTCGGCATCTCTGTGCCACATCGGAAGAAGAGTTGTCTTCGATCACACATTAAATACATTGCAACATGTAATCAAAAAACAATCTCATAATACTTTAAGTAAATTTACAATTTTGTGTTGGGCTGCATTCACAGCCATCCTGGACTGCATGCAGCCCATGGGCCACAGGTTGGGCACTCCTGTGGGTTCTTGAGCTAAACTGATGTACAAAACAGGCAAAGTGCTCTGATCTCATGTTAGATTCTAAAGGAAGGACACAGAGACAAAAGATAATGTTAAAGAATGATGAGTATTAAGGAAAAAATAGTACTGGGTAATGGGGGAGGGAGAACCAGTGAGGAGGTGGGTCATGATTTGAAGTAGGTGATCAAGGTAAGTTTCATTGAGAAGGTGGTAAAAATCTTTGGCAAATGTTTAAAAGAGGAGAAGGAGCCACTCATACATATATGGAGGAAAGTGGTTTGAGAAGAGGAATCAGCAAGTGCAAAAGCCCTGACTGATGTAAGCTGTATCTTCTAGAAACAGAAGAAGACCAGTGGACTGATGTGCAGTAAGTGCGCTATAAAGGAACAGGACAATCAGCTTGAGAGAACAGGAGGCTGTGATAAGACAATGTAGGGCCTTGGGTGATGTGATAAATATATTGACACATTTTTTTGCATGAAATTGGGACTCACCGCTGAGTGCTAAGCAGAGGCATGACATGATCTGACCTCTGACTACCCTTAACATTATCTAAAATGAACTTAATCATTTGATATGTTATTAGCTGTCTCACCTCCAGAATGAGAGGGATCTGTCTAGGTCACCTCTGTGTCGACCTGAGAGCAGCAGTCAATAAATATATGTTAATGAATTGACAGGGATGAATGTATTCAGGGAGGACAGTTTTCCATTGCTTACTCTGGGAAACTTGGCTCCAGAGTTTTCAAATCAAATGTGTCCATGTGTTCTTTTGCCCCTATTTCTTGGAAGACAGATGACTTTTCTTGAGTTTTTTTTTTTTTTTCCCCATTTGTAGGGCCCTAGTTACTGTTCCCGGGACCATGACTCTCATTCCCCAAATTTGCTGTACCCATGTGATCAGCAGAAACAGTCAATGACCTCAGACCCTCATTCCCTGAAAGTGTGTGAATTTGAGTCCAGATGCAAGTCTCCCATTCTAAACTATAGTCACTAGGATTTACTGAATGCTTACTCTGCACCATGCATTGCTAGGAAGATTTACGCTACCCCAAGTAAGGCTCTGGAACTGTCCACAGGTAATGATTAACTGTGCCCTCCTTGAAGTTTCCAGGAACTCTTGATCTTTCTGCCTGGTAAGCTGGACTCTCTGCCAAAGTTGCAGGGATTCTGGAACTCTCTGCCCAGGAGGAGGGTGTACCAAGAGATCCCCAGAAAGACTACCAAAAAGGATATGGCAGATGAGCACCATTTCAAGGAATGGACTGATGAGATCATGCCTTTTAATACCACCAAGCTGTCTTTAGAAGCCAGAGCTATCTAGGAGAGTGGAAATCTCCAGGAAAAACCAGTTTGCAATCTGTAGGGCTCTGGAAAGGGAGTATCTGCCAGATCTTAGTGAGTAGGTAGCACTGGGCAAAGGAGAAGGTGACTTTAGCATGACTAAAGGGAGAGAATAGGGTGGCTTGGAGGAAGACAGTCAAAGGGAGATGGGAACTGAGTTGGGGTTGAAGAAGGAAGGTCTTATGAGGGGGTGAAGCCGGAAGAATGAGAAAGAGCCAACAATGGAAAGAGAAACTAGTAGAGACAAAAGCAATAAATATTACTGCTTAGAAGTTGCTAAAGAATTCTGCACTCCTGTTCTTTTAGAATATAAGAGAGGAGGCACACGTTTCAGAGACCTTGAGCATTCTGGCTATTGCTGAACAGACATTGAGAAATGGGCATCAAGTTAACTGGTGGGGCTCCTGGCTGGATCCATTAAATTAAAGGTCATTAGACTTAAATCCTCCTCCTCTATCAAAGTTCACATGTTAGTACTCAGAAGCCAGCCTACACTGCCTTGATACTGCTCTCCCTGGAGCCAAGACATAGATGGAAACAACAATGACAACAGTTATAATTTCTGAAGTGATTCTGTATGTTAGGTGCTGTGTGCCAAGATCAGTTGAAGGAAATAGATATCATTTGTATTAGTCAACCTTTACTGTATCAACCAACATCCAAACATCTCAGGAGCCTAAAATCACAAATATTTTTCCCCATGTGTCTGTGGGTTGGCTGTGGCTGTGCTGGACTCAACTTAACTCCACATGTATTATAATTCTGGGACCAAGCTAAAGATAGATCACCCACCTGGGATAAGCTATACTCATGATAGAGGGCAGAAATGCAAGGGTTTCTGACCAACCATGTAGTCACATCCACTCATATCTCATGGGCAAGATAAAGTCAGTGAAAGGAGCTGGGCAAGCCACATGAAAACAAATGGGGATATATAATCCTAATACAAGAAGCAGGTAAGTAGTGGGGAACAACAATTCAGTCTACCATACCACTATATTTTAAGCATAAAGAGATTTATTAAAGAGATTTGTTGAGTGTTCTCAAAACTGTCAGAAGTGTGAGAGAGGTGGGATCTAGACTGGGTGTTGTGCTTTTGGAGAATGGCATGCCAGACTAAAATAAATGCTGAGTTCCAATTTACTCATAACCACAACAAATTCATTTCTGGAAGAACTTTGTAAGGTTGGGGTTAATCTCCATAAGCAGCTGATGACTAATAGAGCAGTCTATATAGGAAAGACCCACGTCTGTGTCAACTTTCCTTCACAGGTATGACTATGCATTGGCTAAGAAAATTCCAGGGGATTTACATTCTACGGTGGATTCAGATGTCCTGTCACACTGTCCACATTCATACCAAGCAACTGGCATCTCTGCTGTGGGGCCACCAGGAAGTTCCTGCCAAGTTTAACTTTGCAAGTGATGTGATAGATTACTGGGCTGGCATGGAGAATGTAATGGGGTGAAGAGACATAGAGTTGAACAGTTGGGCTGAGTTTATGAATTCATCCATATTTAATATATTGAACACATTACATGTCAGATACTATGATGAGCCATGAGGTTCATCTCTCATGAAGGCAGCATGGAGTGGGAGCCAGAGAGCATGGGGTAAACAGAAAGAAGGGACTGGGAAATTGGTGCAGGTGAAGCAATCTGGTAAGCCCCTGGGAAGCTGACACAGGCTGTCTACAAATACTTCATATGCTCTGTTATGATCTCCCAGAGTGAGACAAGGACTAGTGGGTTGGGTTCATAGAGGAGGCAGATTTGGATTTAATAAGAGAAAGTCAGCAGAGTCTTCTCTCTTATTAAGATTAAGCAGAGTCTTCTCTCTTATTAAGATTAAGCAAGCAGGATGGTCAGTAGGCAGAGACTGTCTAAAGGACTCCAACATAAGGCACCAAAGAAAGAGTGATGAGAAGACTTCTGTTTCCTTTCCGATCCTACACTTACTGGTCAAAATGCAAAAGAATGCAACCCCTATTGAAAAATTTGGAAAAATCTCACACCATTACCAATAAATTTTCTCTTTAACTTTTCATTATTGCTCTCAAATTATTGTATAATATGGGAACCCCCAAGGATACCTGAAACTTCAAGAGAATCTTTAAAATCAAAACTATTTTAAAACAAAACTAAGACAAAGTGGAACCCTGGTTCATCACTGGTATGCATATAAAATGGTATAACTTTTGTGGAAAACAAGATGACGGTTTCTTAAAACATTAAATATAGAATCACCACATAACCCAGAAATTTTACTCTTAGGTGTTTATTTCAAAAAAAAATCAGAAGCAAGGCCTTGAGATATATTTTTACACCCTTGTCCATAAAGGAATTATTTACAATAGCCTAAATATAGGAAAACCCAATGTTCATCAATGGAAGAATGAATAAACATAAGGTGGCATATCCACACAATGGAATATTATTCAGCCTTAAAAAGAATGAAATTCTATTTATGCTACAGCATGGATGAACCTTGAAGATATCACGTTAAGTGAAATAAGCTAGATACAACAGAACAAATATTGTGTGATTCCATTTAGATGAGGTCTCTAGATACAAAGTAAAACAACGTTTTCAGGAGGTGGTAGATGGGACAACAAAGATTTTATTGTGTAATAGGAACAGAGGTTAAGTTTTGGAAGATGAAAAATTTCTGGGGATGGGTGGTGGTGATGGTTGCACAAAAATAAGAACATGCTGAACTGTATATTTTAAAGACATAAAATGGTAAATTTTATGTTATATATATGTTGCCACAATAAAAAAGGAAAACAAAGATTATGGATAGATAGATGATAGATAGACCAATCTATAATAACATTTGTCTTTTTCTTTCATTTTCACTCTCTTGCAAGTATGCAGTGGCATTTTCCAGAGGCTACAAGACAAGCAATACAACAATAAGTGAAAACAGAAATACAAAGAGAATCTGCCTTCTACTAAAGAAGACATTAAAGAGACTTGCATAAATGTGAAACAATGCCACAATTCTCATTTTTTGTTGTTTTGGAAAGTATACTTCCTTATTAAACCACATCTTATTTGTGGTAATATATAATGGCTGTTAGTTTTTTTAAAGCACACATTTATAAAATTTCTCATTTTAAATTTCTAACATAGTAAATATTTTGTTTATTTTTATTTTTCAGAGTGATGTAAATGTTTATTTATTTATTTGTTTACTTATTTATTTTATTGTTCAATTACAGTTGTCCCCATTTCCCCCCATTACTCTCCCTTGTCCTACCCACCCTCACCTTCAATTTCCGTCCTCCCCACCCCCATTATCTTTGTCCATGGGTCCTTTATACATGTTCTTTGACTTGACCTTTCCCCTTCTTTCCCTGGTTATTCCCCTCTCCCCTCTTCTGGTCATTGTCAGTTTGTTCTTATTTCCATGTCTCAGTTCTATTTTGCTTTTGCTTGTTTGTTTTGTTGATTAGGTTCCAATTATAGGGGAGATCACATGATTTTTAAAAAATATTTTATTTTGTTTATTCCTGATAATTTTTTACATTAAAACTCATGAATAGTGAATGGTTCTTTCAATTATAATTATGAGCAGAATTTTAATCATGCAGAAATAGAGATACTACTTAAATAGTGGCCAATTTCCTATAAATATTGTGGTTAAATCATGAATAGTAATAAAAGATGCACTATTTACAGAGAAAAATTATTCAGACGCTTCATTACAGAATTGGAATAAATAAATAAATAAAATAGGAATAAATTCGAAGATAATATTAGCCTTATTTTTAATATTTATCAACTTCCATGAGACTTCCACATAGCTTTGATATTCAAAATTGAATAAATATCCTTTGGAGATGAGTGAGTATATGTAGATTAATATTAACTGTTACTGTTCAATAGTTAACTAACAACTTTATTCAAGTTACCTCCAGGCTGATTGTAGAAACCTCAAGCAAGTTTTCTGACTTTGAAGTTATAAACACAAACAGAATGTCTAAATTGAAATTGTATCATAATTTTTAGATTAAAAGTGTTTAAGTAGGAAAATATTAAGAAAATAGAATCAAAATTTAATATCAATAATAAGAGTTTTAAAAAATCATATCAGGAGAATCAAGATGACAGAGGAGTGAGTGGAAGCAACACTGACCTCCCAGGACGAACCTGGAATTACAACTAAATTGTGGAGAAATCATGTGGAACGAACAACTGAATAATAGCAAGACAGGAGCCTTTTAACCTTGGACAGATGGAAGAAACAGCTTTAGCACAACCTAACTAGTAAAGAATGCGGTAGAGACTTGAGTAGGCAGGCAGGGCGCCCACAGGTGGCAGCACCAGAAAGATATTGAAACAGCTCATTGAATCCCCCTGAGATGAGCACGGTCTAAAACCATAAGCAAGGATCTCCAGCCGATAGCACCAGAGCCCAAAAAGTACACAGATAACAGCCAGCTGCGAAAACCAACAGGGTTGATCTCTGCCAAAGACAGGCAGCTGGAGGCACAAAGAGCCACTTAAAGGGCCGACATATAAATTTTTGCTTTCAGCCACTTACCCTGTGCTCTGGCAAAGGCAGGGGACAGAGTGGGCTGGAGACACCTGAGGAAAGACCAAGGAAGGAGGTTTTGGGGAGAGAACTGAGAGAGTAGCTGGTGGAATCCCAGTGCTAACCCATCCCCCATGAGGCAGCAACCATTTTGTTCAGGCAGACCACTCCTTTGAGGGTCAACAGCATGAGAGGACACAATAGCCCCACACCAAGGAGGCTCTGCCTAGGCCCAGTGGTGCTAAAACCTGATGGATAAGTACAGAGAGGCAGCCACAGATAGTAGATCCTTGGCTAAAGGGGGCACAGAGTGGCTTCAAGAGACACTTGAGGAGAGACTGGAGATGGAGGCTTTAGGGAGAGAACGGAGAGAGTAGCCGAAGGGATCCCAGCGCTGACTCTCCCCCATACAGCAGCAACCATCTGGTTCAGGCATACCACTCCCCAGAGTGGCAGCAGCGTGAGAGGACCCAATAAGCTCGCACTGCGGTGTGTCTAAGCCAGCTTGCTGAATGCAGAGTGGCTAGATTAACAGCTGAAGGAGACAGCCGAAGAGAGTCGATTCCTGGAAGTCTCAAACAGACTGCCTAAGTTCAGACAGGGTCAACAGCTGACATCATGAGAGGCAGATCCAGAAAGAACAAAACAGTGGTCTCCGACCATAGAAGTTCACACCACCAAGTCAGGAAATCAAGACAGATCAATTTAAGAAGCAGAAGCGAAAAAAAAAAAAAAAAAAAAAGAGCCTAACAAGTAATGGGAAGACAAAGAAACATGCCCCAGTTGAAGGGAAAGGAGGAGTCCCCAGAAAAATAACTAAATGAAATAGAGGCAAGTAAGTAAACTATCAGATATTGAGTTCAAAACAATGGTTCTAAGGAAGCTCAATGAGCTCAGCGAGCTCAGAGAGAATTACAAAAAACTCCAGGAAAACTACAAGAACTAACTGAAAGCTATATAAGCATGAAAAAGGACATAGAAACTATCAATAAGACACAAGAAGAAATGAAGAACACAATTTTGGAACTGGAGAACACAGTAGATGGAATCAAAAGGACGCTGGGTGAAGCAGAGGATGGAATCAGTGAGCTGAAGGACAAGGTAGAAAAAATCTCCCAGAAAGAGCAAGAAAATGAAAAAAAGACTCAAAAAGAATGAAGAGGCATTGAGGGAAATGCAGAACAACCTGAAACAAAATAATATCCATATAAGAGGGAGGAGAAGGAAAAGAAGGAACCAGAAGGAAAAGAAGAGGAGGAAGGGATAGGGAACCTGTTTGAAAAACTAATGACAGAAAACTTCCCTAATTGGAGGAGAGAAAAAGTCACACAAGTCCAGGAAGTACAGAGGGTCCCACTCGAGAGGAACTCAAAGACACCCACTCCAAGACACATCATCATTAAAATGGCCAATATCAAAGACAAACAGAGAATCCTAAAGGCACCAAGGAAGAAAGGAGTAGTAACATATAAGAGAGCCCCTATACAGCTAGCAGCTAACTTCTCAACAGAAATACTGCAAGCCAGAAGAGAATGGCAAGAAATATTACAGGTAATGAAAAGCAAAGGCCTGCAACCAAGACTGCTCTACCCAGTAAGGCTCTCAATTGAAAAGGAAGGCAAAATAAGGAGCGTCTCAGACAAATGATGGCTAAAAGTATAGCCCTCCACCAAACCAGCATTGCAAAATATGCTAACGGGATTTCTTTAAGAAAATGAAGAAAAAGATTCTATGAATACCCAGTTCCTTTCACAGTCACCAATACTTGATATTACCAATATTTTTAATACTTATTAATCTGATTGTGACAATGATGGGTTATTTTAGTTGTTACTTTATTGTTTGTTGAACTAAACCTGTTTTTGTATATTTCTTGCCTATTCCTATCATTATTAGAAAGCTTTAAATGACCTTTTGGTACTCTTTATCCATTTTTTGAATAAATGTTTGTAGAATTTTTGTCCCCCCCCCCAAAAAAAAAACTATTAACCCTTTTTTAGATGTGTTGCAAATACTTTCATATTCTATTACTTGCCCTTTAACTTTTTTTACATGAACATTACTGTATAGTCTTAAATATTTAATATAGTCATATTGTCAATATTTTACTTTATAGCTTCTTGGTTTGAAAATGTTATTTTAGGGTAATAAAAATATTATTTTGTGTTTTTGCCTAAAACTCCTTAGACTTAACATATTGATTTTTTTTTCAACATTAAATAACATCTTTTTTTTTTAATTAATTTAATTACTTTTTAAATACATTTGTCTCTGCCTTCCCCCCACCTCTTTCCCTTGCCCCCTCCCACCTTCCCTCCCTCAGCTCTTCCCCTTTGGTTTTGTCCATGAGTCCTTGCTATATGTTCCTTGACTTTCCCCTTCCCTTCTCTTTCCCTGCCCCCCACCTTCCCTCTTGTCTCTGTTGATTTCTTTTCCTTTCAGTGTTGCTGGTCATATTTTCCTTGCTTCTTTGCATTGTTGGTGCAGCCACTATGGAAAGCAGTGTGGAATTTCCTCAGAAAGCTGAAAATGGAACTGCCTTTTGATCCAGCGATTCCCCTGCTGGGACTATACCCTGAGAACACCAAAATGCCAATACAAAAGAACCTCTGCACCCCAATGTTCATAGCAGCACAATTTACAATAGCCAAGTGTTGGAAGCAACCTAAATGCCCATCAGTAGATGACTGGATCAAAAAATTATGGTACATATACACAATGGAATACTACGCAGCAGAAAGAAAAAAAGAAGTACTAAACTTTGCGACAGCATGGATGGAACTGGAGAGCATCATGCTAAGCGAAATAAGCCAGGGGGCGAAAGACAAATACCATATGATCTCACCTATAAGCGGAACATATTGATTTTTAACTCACCTGAGTATTTGTTGTATAATGTGTGAAGCAGGGCTCCCTATTTGTTTTATTTCACGTAATAGTGATTCATGCACCTTATATGTTGAATAAGCCTTATTTTCCTCATTGATTTGAAATATCAATTTAATTATATATTACAAAATTAGAAAGATATATACACTTGTTTCTACAGTGCTCATTTTATTTCATTGATCTACTTGATTTTTTCTGTGCAGGTGTCATGATTGCTGAGATTTTATAATGGGTTTAAATTTTTAAATATTTTATAATGGATTTTGACATTAAAAAATAAATAAAATCGATCCACACTAAAATAATGATGAGGACATGTATAATTCAAATAATTGGCATTAATGTGTACAAGGCCTCAAATTTTGTTTTCAGTTTCATTATTTGCATTAATTATGTAATAGCAGTTTATCTATTTATTTTTTAATTTATTGCTGTTTAGTTGTAGTTGTCTCACCTTTTTCCCTATTGCTAAACCCTACCCTGTTCATAGTCAATCCCTTTCTATTATCCATGCCCATGAGCCCTCTATTCATGTTCCTTTGCTTCACCATTCTCCTTCTCTCCCCCATTATTCCCCTCCCTCCTCCCCTCTGGTCAATATCAGCCTGTTCTTCATTTCTGAGTCTCTGGTTGTACTTTGCTCATTTGTTGATTAGGTTTCACTTATAAGTGAGATCATATGGTATTTGTATTTCACTGCCTTGCTTATTTCACTTAGCATAATTGTCTCTAGTTCCATTGGCAATTTATTTTTTTACACATGAGAACTGAGAAACACCAATCTAACTGTTATCACAATTGTTCTTCAAGGAACAGAAAACATTTCATGGAAAATATTATGAAAGATCAGGAGGGCCACTTTAGTTTTATGCTTTATGATAGTTCATCTAATTCTTCCAACATTCACAACTGAATCAATATGCAATATTATATTTTATAAAAACCTAAGTTAAATATTGATAGATAGAACCCACATAAATAAAAACTCTGTAGGGTTTTTTAAAATACTTTTTAAGAGCGAATGAGGGTCCGGAGATCAAAAAGCTTACTAAACACAGTTGTGTCAATCCTAAGACTGGGAATTTTCCCCATACTTACACACCAACCTCTGCCCAACCAATCAGAAGGTCTTTTCTTTCTTCAGGCAGGCAAGAGACACCCGGGCCCAGCCCTCTGGTGGGTGAACGGTGATCAGGATGAAGTGAAGTGGAACTTCAGTCAACTCAGTGTACTCAGCCAACAGGCAGCCAATGTCCTCTCAGGAACATGTGGCCTTCAGCGTGGAGACTGTGTGACAGAGGTGCTGCCCCGAGTTCCTGAGTGGTGGCTGGTGACTCTGGGCTGCATGCAAGCAGGTTGGTAATTGACAACCTGTTCTGGCACTGTCTCTCTTGTGAAAGAAAATGATGGCAGAAAAATACAATTATTCCTCCCCAAAGATGTCCCCTTCACACAACATGTTTTCCCTCCCCATGTGTAGATACCACCTTTCTACCTATTTAAGCAAACTATCTACTCATCACCATGATAGAGGCGGCTAGTACAGAGTGAACAAAACATGGCCTGTGTACCCACAGGACTTACACATCTTTGGAGAAATCCATTAAACTATTAATTGTACACATAATTATTTAATAACAATTTTGATAAATGGCATGTGAATTTTATAAGAACCTATTAAAAATCTTGCCCACAGCCTGTGTTTGTAAATAAAGTTTTATTGGAACACAACCATGCCCTGGTTACATTATCCATGCCTGCTTTTGCACTAGTATAGTGGCAAACTTGAGCAGTTGGGACAGAGAGTGTCTGGTCCACAAAGGCTAAAATATTTACCATTTGTCCTTTATGCAGAATAATATGGCCAACCCTTGCTATAAGAGGGGACCTGAACTTATTGATCTGCAGTGGTCACAGGTGTCTCAGCAGAAGTGATAGTTGGGCTGAGAACTGCAAGATGAGTTCAATTCGGTCAAGAAAGAAGGCAGAGGGGGAGTGTTCCTAGCAGAGAGAACAGCACAGGCAGGAGGGAAGCTTGAAAGTTATGAGGAAACCTGAAAGGGTGTCTGTGTTCCTGGAGTCTAGGCAGCAAGGAGAAAATAGTGGCAAAGGTGCTTGAATAGAGGGGCAGGTGCTAAACTGGCAGAAACTTGGGGGTCATGATGAGGGTTCTGGACCCTTATACCATAAAGTATGGGAAACCATGGATGAACTGAGTGACGTGATCGTATGCTATTTATAAAAGTCACTGTTAATAGCTCATAGAGAATGAGATAAAGAGAGGAAGAGCTGGGGTGTGAAACCCAGATAAGAGATGAGGGATGATGCTGGCTTAATCTTAGATGAGGTGGTGGGGAAGGAGATAAGTGGGTGGATTTAAGAAATGATTAGGAAGAAAATGACAGCAGGGTCTTTTTGATGGATGACATATGGTAGGGGAAGAAAGCCAGGGGGTTGAAGAAGTCACAGGTGCTTGAGCAACTGTGTGGACTCTATTGTCTTTCACTGAAGTGAGGAACACAGAAAGAAGCAGGTATGGAGTGTCAAGGGAAAATAAGAAGCTTAATTTGGTAACTATTGAGTCAGGGGTACCCCCTGATATTCAAAAGGGAGGAGAGTTCCAGTTAGAAAACATAAATCATAAGGATGTAGTCTACAGTATGGTGACAACAGTTAACAATACTGTGTTGTATATTTGAAAGTCATTAAGAGAGTAGATCATGAAAGTTCTCATCACTAGAAAAAAGATAGCAATTTCATGTGAGGATGGATGTTAACTTGTGGTAATCATTTTACAATATATACTTATATCAAATTAGCATATTTGATATATATTATATATAGACCTATGAATATTTGACATATACACCTAAAACAAGTACAATGTTATATGTCAATTATATCTCAATAAAAATATGTATGGAGAAAAGTGAGAAGTGAGAAATTAGATTTAAGGGCACAACATCTGAGATGGAAACAGAAATTTGAGAATCATCAAACTTTAGATACAAGAAGTGAGAAGTGAAGAGGTATAAAAAAGAATCTCAGGAAACCCCAACGCCACCAAGTCTCATGCACATTACACCTTCCATGCCCTTCCCTACATACAACAGGTATTCTCATCAATTAGGAGGAGCACATACATGTGTAAAAGAAGGAATAATCAGAGGAATTTGAGCACAATAGTAATATCTTCAAGCCCTATGGAAAGAGTAAAGAGGCCATGAGAGAAAGGTGATATTATGATAGAATATATTCTGAAGAGAAGGAGAACTCAAACTCAGTAAGACTATCGTGATGGTGACACATCTGAGGTAGTTAAGAGGTCTGCAGTGTGGATCCTACAGTGTTGAAGGCGGTGAAGAAAGTGATCCAAGATTAAGAGCTATTTAACAACAGGAACATGTGAAATCAGCTTCATAAAAAGTGAAACAAGTCTTCTTATTCTCCAGAAGAATAAAACAAATCCACAGGAGTCTCATCAAGGTAGAAAACAAAAGCTAAGGGCACTCTTGTTTAAGAAAATGCATCCAGAATCCCTGGTTAGGTCGCTGTGGTATTGCAGTACCATGGACAGTTATAAGTGTCTTTCCTTATTATTTTAATTACTATAGGAGAGTGTTTGAATACAGGAAACTCCTGGAGGACAGTGTGTGTGTGTGTGTGTGTGTGTGTGTGTGTGTGTGTGTGTGTGTGTGTGTAGGAGGGTAAGAAGGGGTTGTTGGCCTTAGATTGTCAATGGTGTGACATCAGACCCCCTTATAGCTCTGACTACCCAGGGCAATCTGTTCGTTTTTTAAATTGATTGATTGCTTGATTATTTTTAGAAAGGGGAAGGGAGGAAGAGAGGGAGAGAAACATCAATGTGTGGTTGCCTCTTGCACTCCCCCTACTGAGGATCTGGCCTGCAACCCAGGCATGTGCCCTAGACTTGAAATCAAACCAGTGACCCTTTGGTTCACAGGCTGGCACTCAATCCACTGAGCCACACCAGCCAGGGCAAATCTGTGTTCAAATCACTTTCTGGTCAATGGTCTGTCACTATTGACATTCCCTACCCCAACCTCCCTTCCCACATTGGAACTTACTGGCTGCTACATCAGACTTCTCTAGGGAAGGAGACAATGCCTCTTCTAGTTCTCTCTAAGCCATTTCACTTCTCCAGGCCTTGTCTTCACGCCTGGGACTATCCAGATGAAAGCCAAAGACATACTCCAAATAGGCTGCAGGCATCAAAATCCAGGGCCATCGTTGCTGGGGATGAAGTGGCCCAAGCAGTGGACACTGTGGCACCTGACTGCCCTTCTCTGAAAACAAAGATATCGGTGTCTGAAAAGAGTAAGGATGGGTGGCTGGACTTCAAGACATTACTACAGTGAGTATCTACATGTTTTCACCTGGGTTTTCATCAAAAGTGAAAACTGAACCAAGCACTTATTTGCAGGTGTTTTATTTGGGAGGTTCAGGAAGTAGAGTGTGGGACTGTGGAGAGTGAAGCAGGGAAGAAGAAAGAGAAAATACAACAAGAGTTACTTCAGGGAATAAGTTGGACCTTCTGGGAGCACAGAGAATGCCTCTCAGGATTATTTCTGAGCGGACTGACGAGCACCTGATTCCCATTGATAGAGCATTGACGAGACAGGAGATATCATGTACTCCACATTTCTTGGGTACACCATGCCTACCAAGTAGGCCCAGAGTATCATGCCATGGTGGCAACAAGGAAGCCCTGGGCTCACAGAGAGTCACCCATGGTCCACATTATATAAAACACTACATGGGTTGAAACTCACACTGAGCTGTTCAATGGATGGAATCAGAGGTGAGGCTAAAAGCATATTGAGGTAAAACACAAGAGATGGCCTATGTACTGAGTTTCCAGGACCCTCTCCCTGCCCTCTGGGACACCAAACCAGGATTTTTCTTGCAGTCCATGACAGCACTGGCTAGAGGAATTAGTTTGCTGTCACATGTCTGAAATCCCCCCACTGGAGACACATACATTAGGAAACTACTAGGAAGAATGTAATCTTTTTCTTTCTAATGACATGGTGTTTAAGATAACTATCAGAGAAACGTGTAAGATCAGCTCTGAGAGACTTGACATCAGGACAGTAGAAGAGATGCTGAGAGAGGTGCAAATGCTGCAAGGGACTAATTGATCACCTTCTCTTTACCTGGTGTTGCACTAGTGATCTAAACAATTAGATGAGCATTTATTGGATTCTTGATGAGCAAGTCACACATTTCCTTTCTGTTACAGTTAACTTCCTGATCCCATTTTACAGATATGGACGGTGAGGCCCAGGGAGGGTTAAATAAGTAGTCCAAAATTACATACTTAATAAATATCAAATCTGAGTGACTTTTAAGCCCAAGCCTGAGCGACTCAGGATATCATGGTCTTAACCATTTATAAGCCTCTCTTCTAGTGTGGCTTGGCTGACTTGCCCTTGCCAGCATGTGGGAAGAAGGGAAGGGTAGACCACCAGGACATCTGGTGCCAGGGCAGATCTGAGAATGTGACACTCTGTCTCTGTCAGAGGAGAATCTACCACTCATCACTGTGTGGAGACAAGAAGCCAAGAAGCAGCTGCTATCTACTTCACCAGTGGGACAACTGGCCTTCCGAAAATGGCAGAACATTCCCACGCAAGCCTGGGCATCAAGGCCAAGATGGATGCTAAGTAAGAAGATCCCCTTCCCTCTACAGACAATACATGACCAGACCTTGAGTCTTTTATGAACTCAAACCCAGTTCTCCTAAGATTGGCTATAACTTGGTACTTCTAAGAAAGACAGTTGGGAAGGGGGGTAAGAAGAGCATGGCTTAGCATGGTGGGTAGTCAGTGACCTTCAATGTGACATTTCTGTTTTAGATAATGTGAAATCTGAAAACATCTTCAGGGTTTTGAGCTACATGTCTACTAGTTTGAATGATTTGCACAAGATTTATATGCAATTTCCTTCCATACTGATCCATATCTTTCTTGTTCTTTGAGGTGCTGGTAATTTGCTTTAACACTACCCATATTCCACGAGGGCACTTTTGTCAGCAGAAAATTACTTTTCAAATTCATTGAAATGGAAGCTATAATTGGATTAACTTAATTAAATGAGATCTCAAATGTGAAAGTTCAGAATTTCCTTCTACTGTACATCAACCCCATCAATGAAATAAGAAAATACTGTGCTAAAGTTGTCATACAATTATAACTAGAGATCTTCAGGGTCTTTTTCAGTAGATCCTGCTTACAACATTGATTTTATTATTAGACGTGGAAAAGTAGCTTAATGCAAAAACAAACGTTGAAAACCTAGATGCCCCACCTATGAGTCTGTGGTAACAAAATTAAATTATTTAAAAGAAATAATTAATAGAAAAACTATAGTAAAATACAGTTTCTAAAATATGGTAAGACAAATCACTTAAATATAACTAAGATATAAATTCCTACCTCCACCCTCCAAATTTGTTTCTAATAGGCCATGACCTAATTTTCTTACAGCACTGAAAGTATAAATCATCTTCAGGAAGGAGCACATATTATGGTGAATCCCAGCCACAAGGAAGTTTTTCATGTTTAGCCTAAATCATTCTTGTTTTAAGACAGGCCTAATAGACTGACTGCTGTCAGCAGAGGAGAGGAGTGTTGGGAGTGGAGGAATTGAGCAAAAAAGAGAAAGAGAAAAACCTCATGGACACAGACAACAGTGTGGTGATTACCAAGGGAAAGGATTAGAGGGAGGTGGAGGAAGGTATGGGGGGATAAATGGCATGGATGGAGACCTGACTTGCAGTGGTGAACACACAACGCAATATACTGATGGTGTGTTGTAGAATTGTGCACCTGAAACCTGTATAATTTTGTTAACCAGTGTCACCCAATTAAATTCAATAAAAGGGAAAAAAGACAGGCTGAATAACCTTTTATTTTGGCCCCAAAAGAGAAATTAAACAAGGCAATTTATGATGTTTCAAGAATAGAGAACCAATGGTCTATTCAAATGAACTTGAGTTTAATAAAGCTACTTACTAGAATAGGCACTTAGAGTGTCTTTTGTGCATAAACATAGTAGATATTTCCTGGGTAGTTACCACATGTCAAAAACTGTAAAACTTTCTGGGAATAAAGTGAAAATGATACCCAATTATCTGTTAAATCATGTCAGCTAGGGTCACACCTTCCAAGTGTTTTCCCCTTCTTGAAACAGAAGGTGTGGATAGAACAATTCCAGCTTATACTTATACGCACTCCTACAAAGGTATGCAAACATTCAAATACGCCTGAGCACACATATCTGTTTGAACTCACACAGGCATACATACTCATGCTTAAGCTCCATTCACCCCAGCATGCACTGACGTATATGTAAGTGTGTGTCTTCTCTTTTCTCAGCCTATGGACGGGCCTGCAAACCTCAGACCTACTATGGACCATAACAGACACAAGTTGGATTTTGAATATCTTGAGCTCATTTCTGGAACCCTGGACATCAGGAGCATGTATATTTATCCATCTCTTGCCAAAGTTTGATCCAGTGGTCATTCTAAAGGTAAGAGAGGATCCAGTTTGCACCAGATAGTCAGAGTCACTCCAAGGTTTACAGTTTCTTTCAATTCATCTAATTTTGACTAACCCTTGCCTTACAGGTAGATAGTGATCAGTAAGCAAGATGGAAATGGTCCCTGGCCTTATAGAGCTCATGGTCCAAAGAAGGAGAAAAACTCATATACAGATAAAAAGAATATATTCAGGAGACAGGCATCATGGGTCATTGGTTCACTCAGCACATACTTAATGGACTCTTGCTCTGGTGCCAAGTATCAGATAGATGATGGTGAACCAAGTATAGGGAGAGATGGACTATTGGAGGGGGTGTCATGTGTGTGTGTGTGTGTGTGTGTGTGTGTGTGTGTGTTATTTCCTCTTTTATTTGAAGTATAACACAGACTAAAGGTAAAGGGTATACAGTACAATTATTTTAACTGTACATCTTGCAAATAATTTATCTGTGTTGTACACTGTATTAACCAGTTTGGGTTGCTATAACAAAATGCCTTAGATTGGGAGGCTGAAACAACAGACATTTTTTTCTCACAGGTCTGGAGGCTAGGAGTCTGAGACCAGGGTGCCATTCTTTTTCTGATTTACAAACAGCTGCCTTCCTGTCACGTCCTCAGATGATGGAGAGAATGTACTCTGGTGTCTCTCCCTCTTCTTTTAAGAGCACTAATCCCATCATAGGGGCTCCACCGTCACAACCTCATCTACACCAAGTTAACGCCCAAAGGCCCCGCCTCCAGTTACCATCACATGGAGGTTAGGGCTTCGACATATGAATTGGGGGAGGACACAGCATTCAGTCTATAACAGATACCCATGTAATCACAACCTTATCAAGATATAAGACATTCTCATTACGGTAGGAAGTGTTCATGCCACCTCATGCCATTGTCTACACTCCATAAGTTAATCATTCTTTTGACCTCCATCACCATAGATTAATTTTGCATCTTTTTCATCTTCATATAAGTGGAATCATCCAATATATAATCTTTTGTATCAGGCTTTGTTCACTCAACATATTCTCTGTAGTACTCTCCTTATTGTTGCACATATGAAAAGTCTGTTCTTACGTATAAAGGACCCATGGACAAAGCCAAAGTGGGGAAGGATTGAGGGAGGGAGGTGAGGGAGGAAGGCAGGGGAAAGTGGTGGCAGGAAGGTGGAGACAAATGTATTTTAAATAAATAAATAGAAAAAAAGAAAAGCTTGTTCTTTTCAAATGCTATAGTGTTACATTCTGTGTATCAATCATAACTTTTTCTATCCTATTGCTGATGGACATTAGGAGTATGGCCAATTTGGGACTATAATCTATGAGTTTTGAAGAGTAAATAGGGTTTTTCTTTTCTTATAGAACTTGACAGGGAAGTCATTAAATAGAATCTACAAATGGTCTTTACCTGGGAGCAGCAAAGCAGTGGAAATGGGCTCAGTTTGCTTGCAAACCACACTTGATATTGAACTCTATTTGTAATGAAGAGTTGCTATTGACATCCTGGGGCCTCCAGATCTCTGTAAAAGTTGAGGGCCCTCCCAGACTTCTGTGGCTGGCAACAGACACCCAAGGAGCAAAAAGGGGCACGAATGACATCCTAGAGGTCAAAAAGTCAGGCATGGTCTGGATTCTCTCAGATGATTCTCTTCAAATGATGCTGTCGTTCTCTGATTTAAACAAATTCTTACTCTGCCTCTTTCCAAACACGATTTGATGTAGCTTATGTAAAGTGTCATGAGTAGAAAAAACAAAACAGGAAAACAGATAAAAAATTATAAAACCTATTAGGAAAGTATAGATTGGAGTTGCAGAGTGGGAAGACTGATGAGAGTAAGAAGTACAGCAAATAAGTAGGTAATTCCATACTGAGCTTCCTGTACGACAAGGCAATAAAGGATATGAGATGATTTTCATAGCTTACACCAGTTCATCAAGAATACACAGGAAATAATTGCATGATTTACTGTTAATCATTTTTTCTGGACATTTTTGTCTAAGTCATTTGTCTAATAAGTTCTGTACTTAAATAAATTCTGTACAAAGCAAAGCATGGGACACAAGTAGTGTTACATAACTGTTAAGAGTACCAGCTGCAAATGCTTGTTCCACTACTGGCTGATTGTGTGAGACTGGGAAAGTTATTTAATCCTCCAAGTCACCATTTTCCCTTCTGTAAAGTAGGGATGATAACACACACTCCATGAGGCTATTGTGAGAATTAAATGAGATAGCACAGGGTCTGGAAGGTGTTCAATACTAGCTAATTTTTTTTTATTCTCACCAGAAGATCTGTTTATTGATTTTTGAGAGAGAGGAAAGGGGGGAGAGAGAGAGAGAAAGAGAGAGAGAGAGGGAGGGAGAAACAGCAATAAGTCACCTCCCATATGTGCCCTGACCAGGGATTGTACTGGCAATCTTTTGGTGTAGGGGAATGAAACTCCAACCAACTGAGCTACCAGGCCAGGGCATTACTAGCTAAATGTTAATAGCACTTCTGGAGTGTCTATAAAGCACATTTAATTTTTCAAAGCACTTTTCTACCTAAATTAATCTATTATAAAGCTGGCCACAGGAGATTAAAGGATTTAACTAAGACCACACAGCCAATTTGCAACAGTAGCTGATCTACTTCTCTTGGTGACTGGGGATTTACATAATCCTAAATGTATGTTTATGATAGCTAGTCATTAAATTGGCAGGAATAGGCAGCTCGATTTGACAAAAATGTCCTAGATTAATCCTGGACTTTTCTCTATAATAAGTGGTCATTTCTCTGTTACTTTAGCTTAAGGGTACATGAGAATTGGGGCTCATTTGGCCTGAAGAAACACAGCAAAGAAGCTGGGATTTAAATCTAGACTCTGTGATGGCATAGCGCATGCTCATAACCACTATGCATACTGGTAAACTCAGCATCTGACCTGGTGATCAGTCTCTCAGCGGGGTCTCTTTCTCCAGGCGCTGTCCAGCTACCCAATCACCAACCTGGTAGGAGCACCCATTGTTTATCGAATGTTGGTACAACAGGACCTTTCCAGGTGATGGGGCTTTTGGGGTTGGTAAGAATCTCTGGATCTATTGGTCCTTCCTACTGCCTCCCCTACTTACACACATTCTCATCTATCTGACCCTAGGAGCATGGTTGCCCCATGAAGTCAATATCATTGTTAAAGCACATAGAATCCAGATCTAGGCACGGGCAGAGTTTGGTTCAGGAAGGCTAAGGGTGGAACAATCACTTCTCTTCTCTTCTTCAGTTACAAGTTCCCACATCTACAGAACTGCTTCAGTGGAGGAGAAACCCTCCTCCCAGACACTCTGAAGAACTGGAAGTCTCAGACAGGACTGGACATCAGAGAGTTCTATGGCCAGACAGAAACAGTACCAGCTCCTAGGGGAACCAGAAGCTGTGCAGCCCGGTGGGCTTCAAAAGGCTCTTAGATAAGAAAAATATGAGCTATCTTTTATCATGGGTTTATTCCATAAATATTTATTGAGTATCTACTATGGGATAGGTACTGAAAATTCAGCAGAGAATAAAACAGGCCAAACTCCTGCTCTCATGGAGATTGCATTCTCATGCAAGTGGGGGAAAGAGACATAAACTAATAAATATATGATATGGCAGACAGTGAGAAGGTCTATGGAGAAAAATAAAGATAAGTGAGATGAAATGAGGAGATGACGGTCTGGATTTTCAGAAATGGTGGTCAAGAAAGTCCTCTGTAGTGGGATAACATTTTAGCAGAGACCTGAGTTTGTCAAATGTGTCAGGCACTATTCTAAGCTGCTCATATTGAAGTAAAGGGCAGGAGAAGAACCCACTAAGGACCCCACCTCACCTGCTCAGATATCTTCTTGGAACTCTTGGGGCTGCTTGAGCACAATGTGGATTCATTGTGCCACTTATCAAAACAATCTGGGGAGTACTTTCCCACAAGTTCTTTCCCAAGTGCTTCTTACTTGTGACTCTTGGTATTTCTTCCTCCTTCTTGCCACTGTTTTACCCTACATCCTTCTATGGCTAATGGTCCCCAGTACTCCTGCAGAACTCCCAAGAGGGCTCATGGCAATGCTGTGATATGGAGGACCTTTGCAAATGTGGGGAAGGACAATGCAGTCATGACAGGGGTCCATGCTTTTAGATGGAGCCTTCTTTAGAAAGTGCTCCTGTGGACGCCAGCATCTTTGTAGGATAATTTGTTTTAGGAGTCAAGCAAGGTTGGCCCTATTATGGAAGGTAATTTAATCCCACATTGTTTTAAAGGACTTTGAGTTCTGTGGTCCCTTAAAAAAGTATGGCTCCCCTAAAAAAGACTGTAATATGGTTGTTAGTTTCTTTTTCCTGGGGAGTAATCAATCAGATTGCTTTCCAGAGCCACCAAATGTGAGCCAGCTTCCGAGTGTGATAGGACCTGCTCTGCTGAATTTTCCTTCGGTAATTTCATAACCCTCCTAAAGTTTGCCTATCTGTCTATTGCTTCCCACAGGGAATCACTTGCAGAGTTTCCAAGACAATGAAAGTCAAACCTGGCTGCATGGGGACTGCAACTCCCCATTATGATGTGCAGGTTTGTTTGGTACACACAGGTGGTAGGGGAAAAGGAGAAAACACAAATTTTTCAGTAACTTATTTATTACATTTTTCATTGAGGAAAAATAATGAAAAGTAAAGATATTAAAACAATATGAAATGGAAGGAAAGATAGAAAAGAAGAAGAAAAAAGAAAAGGGAAATTTTTATGTTCTTACCATGCAGAGAAAAACACTTTGAATATCCAGCAAATTAGCTGGCTAGCTAGTCAGATAAATGTATACTTTAAAAAAAAATAGGAGTAAATTTTGACATATCATTTTGTTACTTTTATTGTTGAACAATCTTTGGTGACCATCTTCCTGGGTCAATTAATACTGACATACACTATGTTTTTTAATAATTATAATGAATACGGTAATCAATAGTGTGCTTCCACCACTCTTTAAGCCTTTTGTTAATGAATAAATGTTTTTTTAACATTTTCACCAGTAAAAACAACATTACAATGAATATGTTGTAGCTAAAAGTTTGTTCCTTTCTTTTATTATTTCTTTAGGCTAAAGTCCAAGAAATAGAATTTGTGTATGTGTATCTATGGTTCTGTGTATAGATAGGCAGACGTAGAGTATAACAATTCACATTCTATTCAGTGTTACCTATAATTGCCTGCTCCAACTATGGTAACCAACTGTGGTAACTATTTATGGAGCTCTTTTTAGTACTCATTTCATTCTGATAACAGCACTGTGAAATAAGCTGATATTATCTCAGTTTTACAGGTGAAGGCACTGAAATATATGAGGGTGGACCTCTCTAAAAAATGGAATTATCTTTTGGAGGGCAGGTTCTTTGTTGTACAGGCTTTCCCCACTAAGTGAGTATTCTAAGAACCCATCTGTATCTGTACCAGCTGGCATTGTTGTGAGAGACTGCATTCAGCTTCAGTGAATTTTTTTGAAGACTCTTTTAAAATGTTTGCCCATTTCACAACGGGCGATTTATGAGCACACCTGACCACACTGTACTGTGTGTTCAGCAGTTTTTTACCAAAAATGGCATAACCCCCATGCCTCCACCCTTCCTATTCACCTGATCTCACTCTGAGCAACTTTTTTGTTTGTTTGTTTCCCTGGATGAAAAAAGTCTTCCAAGGGAAAAGTTTTGCCAATGTAGAAGAGGTAAAGCAAAAAAACAGAAAAAAGCACTGAAAGGAATCAAAATCGATAAGTTCAAAAACAGTTTTGATCATTGGAAAAATGTCTTGATAGGTGTATTGAATCAAAGAGAGAGTACTTTGAAGGTGACTGAAGTTTAAACATGAAAGAATAAATACACATTTTTTATAAATAAATTCCAGTTTCTTTTGGGTCCCCCCTCATAGAGTTTAAGTAGCTCACAGATAACAAGTAAGGTAGCAGAGTCGTAATTTGAGTCTTGTTCTGTCTGATGTCCAAGTCCATGGGCCTCAAAGACAACAGGAGGATGCTGTATTTCCTGAGCTCCTAAAGCCAGAAGCTTTCCAAGCTCATCTAGTCTGGTCTCAATAAGCAGCTTCACCTAAGCCGTTCCATGCAGATGGATTAGAGATCTGGGTTTCAAACCCTTGGCTTCCCTTGGTGGTTGGTTCTTATTTTCAGTCACCACTAGAGCAAGAGGGTCTCCACTTGACTACCTCAGATCTTCTGTATTACTATTCAAGGCACCTCCTGTTATGCAGATCATTCTTCCACTCTGCTTCTTCCTCCAGGTCATAGATGAAAAGGGCCATGTCCTGCCCTCTGGTGCAAAAGGAGAGTTGGGCATCAGGATCAAACCCATCAAGCCCATAGGCATCTTCTCTGGCTATGTGGTAAGAAATGTGTGCTCCTCTATCTCTGTTCCCTGGTGGGAATGTGGCTCTAAGATGGGTAAGGAAGGGTCCCAAAGTTATGAACTTCCCAAGAGGCATTGGCAAGGAGTATTCAGAGTGGGTCCTTTGTCAAGAGAAAAGGCTGGCAATTCATCCCTGCCATCCTTACCCTATCACTAAAATCTCATGTGAAGAATTATCTTCATTTGGATACACCTTCCTACCCACAAGAAGTGTTTCATGTCAGAAAGCTTATTGACCCTGAACTATATGGAATCATTCTCCCAAGGGCAACCCTGAGCTTCTCCAAGTATTATCTCCATACTCCATGCCATTGATCCTCTTTAGAACCATGTTAGACATATCACATTGAAACTTCATCATATTTATGGAAGCATTCCTATCTTCCAAGCTTGACATGCTAGAAATAGATGATTCTTGAGTCCATCTGCCTCACTTTAGAGGTATGGCTGGTAAAATCAGAAATTACAAGACTCATTCAAGCCAAAAATCAAATAATAAATTCACTAATAATAGTTATTGTCATTTACTGTATTCTTACTACATGATATGCACAGTCCTAAAGCATTTTGCACACATTAAACTCATAATCCTCCCAACCCTACTCTGCTATTCACTATGTGAGCAAGTGACTGGTCTCTCATGCCTGAGGTTCCTAACCTGTAAAATGTGTATTATAATATCTCATAGCATTCTTATGGCAATCAAAAGGTATTAATATTTGTGAAATACTTAGGACAGTGCTACATAAGAACATGTAAAAGAAAAGAGTTGCTGGAGATGTAAATTATCACTTCCATTATACAGATGAGGAAAAATGAGCCTCAGAGATGAGGGCACAACCATAGCATGCACTTCTGCAGGCATTTCCTGGGCATTGTCTCACTCCATTTTCACATGCCAATAAGGAAGCTAAGGCATGAGGTTCTCCCCCATTTGACAGTCCAGGAAACAGAGTGACTCATGACCCACAGAGATAATGCCAGCAGAGGCTGAATGGTAACCAGGAAAAATAATCAAGGTGGGGATCAAGAAATTTGACTTCAGGTCTCAGCTCTGTCATCTGCAATGGCTATTTGGCTTTGGACATGCCTCGTGATCTCTCTGGTCTTCAGTATCCTTATTTTCCAAATGAAGAAACTAGCCAATGAATTCCCTATGCTGCCTTCAAACCCAGTGACTGAGCTTCCATCAGGGGGCCCACAATCCTACACTTGAACAAGATACAGATATGCACTAACAAGGGGTGAACTCCAAACCTTCTCATTGTTCAAGAACAAGCGCCTCAGCTGAACAGAGGATCCCAAATACTGCAGAAATATTGCAGGGCAGGGCCCTGGAGGTTTGCTGGTATATTTCTAGAATTTTCAAATCTAACAAAAGAGCCAAGAAAAATATCTGATAAACCTTAGTCTCCTTAAATGATGTCATGGAATGGAACATGAGTTAGGCTAATCACTGAAGAGGAGGTAGAATCAATCAGAGAAAATTTCCTAGAGCATGGGTGAATGAATGCATTAATATTATCCCTTAAACTTGACCCAGGGGAGCAGGGGAGAAGCCCTGGGGAAAAAAAACTGAAATAAAGGGGGGAGATCCAATTCCACCTGGGGGCTGGGGTTGACATGATCAAGTTGTAAAATGTACAACCTGAACATCTGTTGCTGGCAGCCCCATGACACAGGATTTAGGCTTTGTAGTCACAATGACTGTCTTTACGTGGCCGCCAGGACAATCTTGAGAAGACAGCAGCCAACATACGAGGGGATTTTTGGCTCACAGGAGACTGGGTCATCAAGGATCAAGATGGGTATTTCCAGTTCATTGGGCGGGAAGATGATATTATTAACTCCAGTGGGTGAGTTTTGTTTCTGGGATGGGAAGGGTAACCTGGCTCTTTATTTTGACTGATTCTAGACTTTGGGGCTGGGCTAGAGGTTATGCTGTCTTCTCTGAAGGGCAGGCTCTTCTACAGGTACCGGATAGGACCCACAGAGGTGGAGAATGCACTGATAGAGCACCGTGTTGTGGTGGAGGCAGCTGCTATCAGCAGTCCAGACCCCATCCGAGGAGAGGTGATGGGGAGCAGCAGCCTGGGAAGGGGCAGATTTGGGAAACAAGGGCATATAGTATGATGGTTAAGAGTATGTATTCAGAGAGCTAGACAGCCTGACTCTACTGCTTACTAGCTGTGTGACCTTGGGCAAGTTACTTAGCCTCTGAGCTTTAGTTTCTCATCCGTAAGATGAGCAGTTATTGTGATGATTAAATCAGTGAATACTTGTAAAGTGTTTGGAATAAGAACTGGCATATAGCAAGCACGTCACGAGGTCTGCTATTACTGGCACTTGTATCAGAATCTGATCCCTGACCAGAAAAACAGAGGAAGGATTCCAGCAAAGAGATAGAGCCCCTCAGCCCTGAGAATATGAGGAAGATAAAGGACCCTTTATAATGCCAGGGTTATAGAAAAAGATCCAGATAAAATCTAATGTGTGGAGCTTGGTGTATGTGTGGTTAAGGTGCAGAGGTGTGGGTCAATGTTCAAGTACATTTCCGCAGGGCACAAGGTGACAATATCATATCTCTGTCAGGCATGGGACATATCACTGTAGAAATCATAGGATCCACTAGGCAAATGGAACCCAAATAGGAGGACCCTTTGTTAAGAAAACTTTTTGTGCCAAGCACAGAGCTAAGCTGGGCTGTATATTATTTCATTGTACTTCCCATGAATTAAATATGACAATTGGATCTCCATTTTATAGATTATAAATGTGCAAACTGTGGTTTGAAAAGGTTAAACAGATCATTTGAATTTATGGTCTTCAGTCTTTATTTTCTTCTCTTCACCTATATCTAGCTTCTCCCTATAACTCCCTATTGTCCCTGGCATATAAGGTGAGCCAGGTCTCAATCTACAGTCCTACCTGACCATCCAATAAACTATTTGAGAGAGAACTGGACTCTTGACCATTATTATTCCCCAGTTTCTCTTTTTCCCCCAGCCCCAAATGTCTGGAGGTACAATTGGGAGGATGTAAATGTGGTGGTTGTGGTAGAAGTCATAACACTTAACATATCCCAGGAGATGATGATGAGCTCTGATCCCTTCTCTCTTGACCCTGATCCGTGCTGCAGGTGGTGAAGGCATTTGTTGTCCTAGCACCACAGTTTCTGTCCTATGACCTGGACCAGCTCACGAAGGAGCTGCAGCAGCATGTGAAGTCAGTGACAGCCCCATACAAGTACCCAAGGAAGGTGAGACTCTGGGCTTCCCAAACTTGAGGAAGCAGAAATGTCCTCTTCTCATATATCCCTCCTTCTGGATGTGGATAAGGACTCTAATTTCAAAGTTCTGCTTGACCATGACCAAGGAAGCTCCAAAAGACAATCCAACAACTGTTATAGATGCTTGAAAGTTGGCCTCAGCATTTAGCTAACTCTCCTTGAAAATCAGATAAGAACAAGTTCTAACCAATATCAGGCCTATATTCCCACTCTATGCACCAAGGTCTTGCTATATTACTCAGGATTCTCTTAGCTGCAGGAGACAGTCATCAAACTTAATGTTCATTGCTCACACAATTGATAAGTGCAGGGTGGATGAAGCCTTAGTCATGGCTGGTAACAGGTATTCAGATGATGTGGTCAGGGATGGCTCTTTCATCTCTTGAATCCCCTTTCTGTATCGACTTCATTTCCTGAAATGGTCTCTCTTTGTAATGGTCCCCAACAGCTCCAAACATACATTTTTAGCAGTTTAGCAAATCCCAGTAGAAAAAGAGCATCTTTTTTCCCCAAAAAGTATAAGAAAATCTTTAAGTTGATTCTCATTGGACCACATTAGGTCATGTGTCCATTGTTAAACCAATCCCTGTAGTCAGGGGATGAAACATTCTGATTGGCCATTTATGGGTCATGTGCTCACCCCTGGAGAGAGTGCAGGAGTATGGGAGGAAGGGCTGCCCTACACCTAGAACATGGACTGAGGGAGGGGTGGGTCCCTGTAGGATAAAAGTGCTGTTATCAGAAAAGACAAAAAGCAGGGTTTAATGTATCTGTTTCCAGCTATTTTCACTGTGGGGCAAAGCGCTAAGGCATAAAGCTGAACATGGAAGAATGACCCAGTTTTTGGAGTTGGGTGCAAGATAGGAGTTTGCCCCAGAGAAAAGAATTCTCTTTCTTTTCCTTCCTTCCTTTCTTTCTCTTTCTTTCTTTTCTCTCTCTCTTTCTTATCTTTTTCCCTCCCTCTCTTTGTTTCCTTCCCTTTCTCTCTCTCACCTGGGATAGAATCACATTAAGCTAAAACACCTCAGATTCTCATGTAACCCAGATACTCACTGACAATTTGTCAGCACAGGCTAATTTTCACTGGTGGGCTTCTGAGAAACAGATTCTGGGAAGGAGATTAACATCCAAGAGGTTTATTAGGGAGTTCTTTGGAATGAAAGGGGAGAGAAGGGGAGGAATGGAGCAGCATTAGGCAAAAGGTGAAGTTTCACTGTGATGTAGTTCGGTGGGGGCTTCAGTCAACCCCATGGGGAGTTTTGAAGCTAGGACAGCCTTGCAGAGTTTCCTGAGCAGCAGCAAGGGGGAGGGCCTTGACAGCCTATGTAGGTCAGGCAGGCTTCCCTGGAATGGGATATGGCCCTGGGAGAGAAAGCTCTTCATAGCTGCTGTACTTCCCAAAGGAGTCAGGCATTGGGAGAGTGAGTCTTTTGTTCCTGAAGGAATGTCTGGGCAGCACATCAAAGAGTTCATCACACAGACTTTCAGTCTCAAACTGAGAGTGAGGCAGTCTAGCAGGCTCTTGAAACAGACTGTGGTATTCACCTCCATCATTTAGCAATCACTCTGGGCCTCAGTTTTCTTATCTGTAAAATAGCGATTATGGTATTATCCCTTCACAGATGGTTTAAAGAAAACAGTTAACATTTGTAAGGAATAAGATACCTTAATGAAAATTTAATAAGGAGGAAAATTGAAACAACCATACTTGAACAATAAAAAATAATTATTTTAAAGAGACTATAAATCCAATCACACCAAGCATATAATGAATTTTGAATTATAACAATATTTCTGAAGAGCCAGTGGAGAGGTCCTATCACACAGTATAACAGTGTATTATTACTCAATAAATGTTTCTCTTTTTACAAGTATCCCCTCCAGAATGACCTGGGTAGCAGGTTCTTCCTACTCTCTCCCTCCTCCCAGCAACCACACAATTTTTTTGCTCCCTTCTTCATGACATGCATAGTTGTTTTCATCTTAGCATTATCCCTGGATCTCCTCTGTGGTTTCTCTCTAATCTCTATCCATACCCAGAGGCCAAAGAGTAAATATTTTAGGTCATACTATCTTTGTGACAACTACTCAACTCTTCCTTGTAGTGAGAAAGCAGCCAGGAACAATTGCAAATTAATAGGTACAGCTGTTGTTTCAATATAATTTTATTTACAAAAACAGGAGAAGGGCTGGATTTTGCTCACAAACTATAGTTTGCCCACTCCCCTGTTCTATCCCACTATGATTTTAACAAACTCCTTAAAAAAGTTAGTCTTGCCTCATGGCAAGGCAGCTGCTAAGAAGATACTTTTTGCATATCAGTGTCCCTACTGTTACTACTTTTCTTAAACTCAAAACCATCTGACTTCTAGAGCGATGCTCTGCAAGTTGAGCCACATAACCAGAAGCCTCAGTGAATTCTCTTTATTACCCATATCTTAGGATTCAAGAATATTGGAAACAGAAGGGCCCTCGACATCAAACATCTCTTCCCACAAGTGAGAAAGGTGAAATTGGAGAGGTTTTTTAGTTCTGCCAAGGACACACCAACAGGAAATGATGGAGATGAAATTCAAAACCAGGCTTCCTCTCAGTCATCTACTGTCTCTAGTTCAGATTCATAACCACAGCTAATATTTTGGAACATCTACCCATGCCAAGAACTCAGCCTGTATAACCTCATTCTACCCTCAAACAAATCGACAAAGTTGCTGTTCTTTTCCAGTTTACTCAGTGAGAACATTGAGTCTCAGAGAAACCTAGTGACCTATTCAAAGCCAGGTAAATAGTGGAGAAGAGACTGGAGCTCAGAGTCTGATGTCAAAGATCAAGTGTCTGACTACTCTGTCATGTCAGTTCACTGTACTGCTTCTCCCTGTCCTAGGGTGTATCAGAGACCAGTTGGCTGGCTTTTATGTCCTATTCTGATCATTTTCTTCTTTTCCTATACCAGAGCACTTCCTGAACCTTCTAATTTGCACAGGGGACTCCCCAGGAATTTTCCAGTCTCAGTAGTCAGCCAACTGGAGCCTCCAATCTCAAGAGCTTCCCCTCGCCCTACAGCAATTTCTCAACTCTATTGAGGTCATGGATGGCCAACTCTGGACTGATTTGTTCCAACAAGTGGAGTTTGTCTTGGACCTACCCAAAACTCTTTCAGGGAAAATTGGAAGGAAGAAACTTTGAGATAAGGAGTGGAAGAGGTCTGGGCCAGCCAGGACCCAATGACAAGGGGCTTTTCTTTTGGGACCTGCCCTTATTTCCCTTCCACTTCCTTTTGGGTCATTTGCCTTCCTATGGGGTATGAGATTCTTTATAACAAGACATCTGATTTTTGTCTTTCCCTGGTTATTAGCTCAAAATTTTGCCACGTTAGATGTTGAAGAGCATGTTAGAGAAAGGAAGAGCAGAACTGGGAGTGAAGAAAAGAGAGGAGAACAGAGAAAAAAGAAAGAAAGTGAGAGAAAAATTAGAATAGCTATTAAGAAAGAAAAAAGGAAGGAAGTTTGGATGGAGGGAGGGAGGAAAGATGAAATGAATTGTAGGAAGAGAAAGAAGGAGGAAGAAAGGAAAAGAAAATAAATAATTTTATAAAAATAGAAACTGATAAATTAAAATAATGAAAGACAAGAAGGATGAGAAGGAGGAGGGGGGAAACTTATTATTACTCCCACAGAGGGAGAGATGAACAGGCAGTAACCAAATCAAACAGAAAACTGAATTTTAGGAAAGAATTAAAAGGCCATGGCTCCCCATCTCACCCTTTGAAAAGAACCTCCATATAGGCTCACTTGCTTAGGCGTTGTTCTGCAAAGTGAGAAAGGTCACCAGTTAGATTCCTGGTCAGGGCACATGCCTCAGTCGTGGGTTCAGTCCCTCCCTGGTCAGGACACATACAAGAGGTAACCAATTGATGTTTCTCTTTCACATCAATGTTTCTCTCCCTCTCCTTCTACCTCTCTTTCCCTCTCTTTAAAAATAAATAAATAAAATAATTTTTAAAACCAGCAATGTGCGCTTTCATTGAATTCTTTTTTGGTTTCTTCTGTTGTGACAATTAAAATTCTTTTTTAAATTATAGTAGTGATACAGTTTCATTTGGATAAGTAAAATATTTTTTTGTTTTTTATTTAATTTTTAAGGGAATCAATGTGAAGAAAAATGAGTAAATAAGACTATAGGTAACATTTAGTTATAGGAAAAAAAAAATTGAAAGCAAAAAGAAAAGAAAATGAAGGTCAGCTGGGGCTGAAATTGAACTGTGAGGCGCCTTGACAAGAAGGTCAAGTTCACCAACAGTGCCCACAGCCCAGCTGTACTCACACCCTCTGATTCTGCTTGCCCAAACTAGCCACACCAACCTCCCTTGAGCTCCCAAATGTGCAGGGTATTGTACCTTCAGCACCCCCACATGGACCCTGCCACTTCTTCCCACACTTTCTCAGAGAGGCCTCCACTGGCCACCTCTGGCTTCACCCTCCTCCTGAGATCCTGTCACCTCTCATAGCTATACTGCTTCGTTGTTTGTGGGCTCTCCTCCACTAGAATGCCAGCTCCCAAGGGCAGAGAACTCTGCTCTTCCAAGACCCTGGAACAGTCCAGTTGAATAGTGTCCATGCCCATGGTCCTTACAATTTTCATCTGTACCCTCATTTGGCTGCTGCCCCTATGCCCAGCCTGATTCAATCTCTCACCACTAGAGCCACCCCTCAGCCCACCCACTCAAGGATCCTGTACCATCTGCTGGCAGGTCAACCTCCTCACTAATTCTGTCCAAGGCCCCCGACCTCTCTGCCCTCTCAACCACACCCCCCAGCAGCAGACTGTCACCCTGGGTCCAGAGTCCACCACCTCACTTCAGGAGCAGGGGTCTGCCCTACACAGGCTAAACCGAGGGTCAGGGGAGAGGACATCCCCAATGAGTTATTATGTTGAGAGCAAGCCTCTGGAGATGCTTCTATTCCAGAATGTTCTTGCACTTGATAAAACACAGAACTACTTCCTGGAGAAATTCATGCTAACTCCAGGGCAGGCTGGAGGGTAGGGGACTTTACTTTTGATTAAATCAATGTGGGAATATTACCAAAAAATGCAAAAACAAAGAGACTAAATAACCTCAGTGGCGCTCAGTTGTGTGTGTGGGCTAGCCAGAAGCAGGGCTTTCCAAAGCTGATATGATGTGCAGGCTCAGAGCAGTAGAAGCTGCTCCCAGATACAGAAAAAGGTACAGTTGCAATGAGCCAGGTGCCTGGGAGTAGGGGACAGACCCGGTGTAGAAGGCCAGGTGAGCCAGGAAAGATTCAAATGGGAAAGCAGGCTGCAGAGAGTTCTGGATGGAGACAGAAGAGCCCTAGTCAGCTCCTCTAAAGCAGAACAAAGAACCCAAAATTCTTCCCAATGCTCTCCTCTGTCAACCACTGGAAAGGTCAGAGAATGTCTTAGCTACTGTGGGAACATCCTAGGCAAAGGCAAGAAAGAAGGCAGAGGGGTGGGGTGTGCTGGCAGAGGCCCCATCTCAGTGAATCAGGGTGTATAGTTAACCATGAAGAAAAGATCAGGACTGAAGGAGACAAGCCATTCTCAGATGACCATTTTCTCTCACTAGATTGACAAACACTGAAACATGTCTTAAGTCACTAAACTACAAGACATAAGCAACCTACAAGATGACCACCCAAGTCAGCAGCCAGCAACCCCTCCCACTTGACAAATAGAGAATCAGTGTCTTCAGAGATAGCTCATCTCCTTCACCAGGCAGGTCAATGGCCCGAGAATTTTACTACCATGAACTTGTTTGCACCTGCCAGGGTCACAAGTTTTCTGGGAGCACATGTTGACTGTTAGGTCATGACTCTCCAGAAACTCATGCAGCAGACCTTGCTCCATTTCACACTAACTGTAGTCCAAAATAACAGAGCAGCTGCCAGCCTGGACTTTGACTAGTGAGGGCACTGGAGCCACACATACGGCCCCAGCACCACCTCTCACTGGCCACGGCCCTGGGCTCCTTCCTGTCACACCCACAAGTACAGTTGGCACTGCTGATCCTAGCCTTGATGCTTGAGAGGAATCTGGTATCTTCAACCACCTGAACCCAAGGAAGCCCAGTCTCACCTCCCCCCACCCCCCAGCTGGAAGATGCAAAGACCACAAGGGCCATCATGTCCAAGGACCAGAGCTCCTCACAACCCCTTTGGTGTTAGTCCCAGGAAATATAGTGATGATTTTTAAAGATCATCATCAAGAACGTTATTGAAGAGAGACTAGGACTGAAGCTGGTCAGCCCCAGGATAGTCTGCAATGTGTAAATCATTTGCTCCTAAGTGTCCTTGGTTAGGGAATATAAAACCTTGTGATTTATTAACTGGCTGTAAGTTGCTCAAATTGTTTTGTAACAGGGTATAGAGCATGGGTCCCCCACAACCCTGCCTTCAATCAGGAATGGGGCAGAGAACAGCAGAAAATATAGCATTGAAGGCCCATTGCATAACAAAGGCAGGTTAACAGCCTGCCCCTTCCTGAAGGCAAGATTTGAGGAAGTTGCAAAACTGTGTACATGACTGTGAAAACATGCACCCACAGAGTGACCTGTGACATAGCCAGGGGAAAGCTCATACAGTACCTGCATGAGGGAGGCTCTGTCCCACTAAGTCTCCCTACCACGGCCACTGTGAATGAAGAAATAAACTGTACCAGATGCAATTTGCCTGTCAGGAGAGGGTGTGGCAATTCCCTCCAGTGGAGAATGTCCTGAGCTCTTCTCTTCAAGTGGCTTTTATTGAGAGCCAATACGCAGGGGTATACATCATGCATGCAAACCTTATCAATCAATTCCTAAAGGCTATAATTACAGAAAACAGATAGAGATCATAGATAACAATTGAAGGAACACAGAGATTTGCCTCAGGTCAGGCAGGCAAATTCTATGAGCAGGTCAATTGAACTGTTTGCACTAATGGAACCCCAGGTAAAGCAGTTAACATGCAACCCATAAAAATTAATCTAAAAGAAGGGGTGCGGGTCCCACAGAAGAAGCAGTACTTCCTTAAGAAGGAGGATTTAGAGGGGATTCAACCAGTATTGCAGAAGTTCTTAAAATTGGGACCAATTTGTCCATGCCAGTCTACCTGCAACATTCCCATTTGCCAGTCAAAAAGCCTCATTCTGACAAATATCAGTTTGTATAGGATCTTAGGGACATAAAAGACATTATTCAGGACATTTATCCTACTGTGCCCTATCCCTATACTCTGCTGACCATGGTGTCTGGGGATAGAAAATGGTTCTCAGTCTTAGACTTGAAGGATGTCTTTTTTTGCACCCCAATAGATGAGCAGGCTATGCTACTGTTTTCTTTTGAATGGCAGAACCCAGAAACTAAAGCCACACTCCAATACTGCTAGACCATGAGAATTTAAGAAGTCCCTTACTATATTTGGGGAAGTGTTGGCAAAGGACTTTAGGGATGTTCAGCTGAAATCAGAAGTTCTTTTACAATATGTAGGTAACATATTGATAGTTAGCAGCACCTATAAGGACTATTTGCTCAACACCATCACAGTCCTAAACCATTTGGCAATAAGGGGATATAAAGTGTCACCTCCTAAGGCCCAGATTTTAAACAGGAAGTGATGTACTTGGGATTTCAACTAAACAGAATACCAGGAGCTCGATGGCAAATAAATAGCAAGCCACTGCTACATTAAAAATCTCAAAGAACTGAAGGTAGCTTCGTGGGTTCTTAGGAATTACAGGGTACTGCCAAATTTGGGTTTCAAACTTTGGACTTATAGCAAAACCACTGTAGATTCCTTGAAAGGACTGGACTCTGAACCCTTTGAAAGGACAGGAGATTATTAGGTAGTCTTTGCTACCTTGAAGGAAAAGCTAGTTTCAGCTCCTGCACTAGAATAGCCCAATTTACAGAAACTTTTCAAATTATACCTTCATGGAAGTCAGGGCACTGGACTGGGGTTACTAACCCAGACTCAGAAATATTCCCCAATCCGTAACCTATCTCTCAAAGAAGTTGAGTCACACAACAAGGGGATGGCCATCACATCTTCAAGCAATAGCAGCTACCTGTGACATCTTACAGGAAACTGAGAATTTTACTTTGGGACAGCCCTCTACAGTACTGGTAACATACCATGTCTTGACTCTATTGGAACAAAAAGGAGGATATTAGTTGACAGTAGGGCACATGGGGAAATACCAGGCCATTCTGC